CCAGCCTGGGCTACAAGGTCAGGACCAACAAATCTGGAGGGATTTTCTTCAAATAAAGCCAGAAGGTTAGCGAGAGGGGCCCAGATAAGGTAGTTCTCATTCTACACAAGGGAAACCCAGGCCACAGCCTGCTGCGCCCTTGCTGGAGCTTGGCTGGACAGCGTAGGGACGCCTGCTGGGATGCAGCCTGGCGCTTGGCCACCCCAGGAGGAAGCCCAGAAGCCCAGGGCGCCAGGGAGGCCTCCAAGGCAGCCACGGGTATTCTCTTTCTTCCCTCGGGGCTGCTTTGACAAAAGCGGAGCCTCACTCTGGCTGCAGCCGGGAAACCGGATAAGGGCGGGCAGGGGCCGGCCAGGCCTCCCATCTGCTGCCCAGGCTGGCCCAGCGCCCCCGCCCCTCCCACCCCGATGCGGCCCCTTCAGCACCCCGCGGAACACACCCACGTCCCATCCCAAGCTAGGTATCTCTCAGCAGGGGTGGGCCGCAAGATTTCGAAATAATTCCGCTTTTAAACTAGGCGGGTCTTTTTTTTTCCCAGACAGGGTTTCTCTGTGTAGCCCAGGCTGGCCTGGAACTCACTCTGTAGCCCAGGCTGACCTCGAACTCACAGAGATCCTCCTGCCTCTGCCTCCCAGGTGCTGGGATTAAAGGCGTGCGCTATCACAGCTGGCCCAATTCAGCTTTTCAAAAAGTATTTTCTCCTTTAAAAATTACATTGATTAGCCGGGCAGTGGTGGCGCACGTCTTTAATCCCAGCACTCGGGAGGCAGAGGCAGGCGGATCTCTGTGAGTTCGAGGCCAGCCTGGGCTACCAAGTGAGTTCCAGGAAAGGCGCAAAGCTACACAGAGAAACCCTGTCTCGAAAAATAAAAAAAAAATTTAAAAAAATTAAAAAAAAAAACAACCAAAAATTACATTGATGGGGGGTGTGAGCACAGGTACGTGGAGGCAGAGGTCAGAGGACACCTCTGTGGGGTCATTTTCTACCCTCCACCAGTGGGTTCTGGGACTCAAACTCAGGAAAGGTGGCTCAGAGGTTAGTGCACCGGCAGCCCCTGCAGAGGACCCGGCTGGGTTCCCAGCACCCACCCGGGGCTCACAACCTCCTGTGACTCCAGTTCTGGGGACCCGACGCCCCCTTCTGGCCCCCGCAGGTACTGCACACAGGTGGTGCGCAGCCCTCAATGCAGGCAACTCTGGTTTACACAGAAAACGCTTGGCTGCAAGCGCCATTCCCCGCTGAGCCATCTTGCCAGCCCATTACTCGGCTTTTGCAGTGAGTGGGTTTCCAACTGGCTGTGGTTCCCAGGGATTCTGTGGAAAGTGATCTGAGGAACAGAGGGACCAGGCAGAAACTATTAGGAGGCCAGCCCAGCCTTACAGTGCAGGAAAGTGACCTCTCTCTGTCTCTGTCTCCCCTCCCTCCCTCCCTCCACACCCACAGATGCCCAGCCCCCACAGGAGGCTGGACGCTGCGGAGCTGTGTGACTTGGAGCAGCTTCCACACCCTCTCTGAGCCTCCCTTCTCTCAAAGGCAGACAACATAAGCTCATTCCTTGAAGAACCGGTGTGAGGGTGGGATTGGGGCTCACGGGGAAGAGCACTCGGGAACCCCCCTGGAATCGTGGGATTCAGATAAAAACAGGGGTGGGAAGAGTCTGGAGGCATCTCACTGACGCCTCGCCAGCATGTGCAAAGGCCCTGCTTCCCACGGTGACCACTGTGACCCGGACTGGGGGTGGGAGAGCAGAGCCATGTGGGGGGGGGGGTTAGCATTTGGTTAGCAGAAAAAAAACATGGGGTGGGGGGAGGGGCGCTAAAGGCGGAGCCCTGGGTTCTGAGCTCCAGCAGGAGGTGGGACCGAGAGCTCACGCCCTCCCCAGGCCTGCAGACTCACCTCCGTCTTCTTGAACCGTGCCCGGAGGGTCTTCATCACGCCGGCTGGGGGAAGGGGTGGGTGGAGTGAGGGAGGGTGCTGGGGCGGTCACCGCAGCACCCTGGGCAGCACCCTGCACAGCACCCTGCACAGCACCCTCAGCAGCACGGCCTCTGAGCTCATCTCACACTGCCAGCCCCCGCCCGGGAAGATCTGCTACCCTCTCTGCTGTGTGTCCCCATGCAGGTTACTTGCCCTCTCTGAGAACTGTCCTCAACTGTAAACAGAGGAGATAATCCCTCCTTGGGCCGGTAGCTGTGAGTACTCAGCGCAGTCACCGGAAGGAGCTGACAGATGGTAAACAGGCGTCACTGTGACATTGCTCTGCAGTCTTGAACTTGTACAAACACTGAGGCCAATAATCCCCCCACCTTCTCTGTGGAACTCCTGTTCATGAGACCCCGTGTGCTGATCCATGTCTGTCCCCCAGACAGAACGAACTCTACCTCCCCAAGTGGACTTCCTGCTTCTCCTCGGCTGGGTCACTTCCTCTACCTCTAACCTGCCTTCTAAGCAAGGAGCCGTCACCAGGCTTTGCCCAGTAACACGCTTCTTACTCAGTTAGAGGGGAGGAGACACTGGACAGTCAGACCCTTGTAGGAAGGCCAATCACACTTGTCACTGCTCTTGGTAAACAAGAGCAATCTATTCAGGGCAGACCCATCCACCCACCCATCCACCCACCCATCCACCCATCCATCCATCCACCCATCCACCCACCCACCCAGCCATCCACCCATCCACCCATCCATCCATCCATCCA